AGTTTGTAAGAAGATTATCTTCTTTTTTTAATAGGCAGATAAAGTTTTGCATTGGCATTGGCTAATTTGCCAATTGTATGTTAAAAATGTTCGTATTTTATTTTATTTGTGGCAGTCGTGAGCCGACTGCCACAATTGATATTACCTGGATAATAACATAATATCTAATCATGTAAATATATTGCGACTATCTGACAAATTCTGATAATTAAGCTCACGGTTTTCCTATTGTTTTTAGGTTTAACATATTGTTTGAATCTTCTACCTTAAAGTGTTTGTTAAGCAGATCTGCAGTGTTCATAAACCCACTTTATTCTTGTTCTAGACTTAATTTTTATTGGTACACATGTTGCTGAAATTTTGACAAATTTTACAGTAAACATCTACATCTACTACTGACAGTAGTGGGTTTTATAATGACTTGTCATTAAGTATTTCATATATTTCTGTTCCACAGGCCTGTCTTTTCAATTTTCACATGGCCTCCAGCCCCAGTTTGCCTTCTTTCAAACACCAAAGACCTGGTCTGAAGCACAGAGCATCTGCAGGGAGCAATGTTTAGACCTGGCCACCATTAATGACATGAGAGAGATGAAAATTGTACTTGAAGCTGTCGGAGATAAATATGATGATGCTGTGTGGATTGGCCTTTCAAAAGGCACGACCCTCAGGTGGCACTGGTCTCTGGCAGACGACGACTTCTACAAAGAGGGAGAAAGAAATTACTTGTTGTGGAGCTCAGAAACGAGTGGCAACTGTGCAACTTCCAGCAATGGGAAACTGAATATGTTGACCTGTGGCAACCAAAAATATTCAGTTTGCTTTGATGGTGAGTCATTTTAAATAGTTGTTTTTGCCATACTCTCAAAATGTGTACATTGTGTTCCGTTTTGCTTCCTCTGTCTCTTTGTCCTCTTGTTATCGTGTGTGTGTGTGTGTGTGTGTGTGTGTGTGTGTATTCAAGTCCTCAGTTTTCCCTTTTCCTTGTCACATCGTTGTTGTTTACCTGACTGTGTGTGCGCTCTTCTAGAGTCTTAGTGTTGCTTAGTGTTGCTTAGTGTTTCCTGGTCGCTGAGTATCAGAAATAAAGCGACTGTTTCAGTTGAGCCTCATCTATGAGTCCTGCATTTGTGTCCTTCCCTTGCCTGCAACCCAGCAAATCCTGGCAAATTCATGGTTACCTGTTAGAATGTGTCTCTGATATTT